TTTTACGACTTCATTCTTGGAATTTTATGACTTTATTCTCATAATTTTAGGACCATTCTCGTTGTGACTTTATTCTCGTAATATTACTTTATTCTCATAATTTTATGACTTCATTCTCATGATTTTACGACATTATTCTAGTAAATATATGACTTTATTCTTATATTCTCTAGCCTGGCCCTAATATTCCGTCGTTGCAATCAGCATTATTGCGGCTGGATATTTGACCTCTCCTTCAGGGAGAGTTAGAATACTTTTTCAAATTGCTTATTTTCTGCCATATATCTAGATTAAAAGCACTGAACTGGCTTTAGGAAGGTAAGATGCTAACTATTAGCCATTTTTATCTCATCTATAACCCGTTTTGGTTCCTTTTTTGTTGAAACTCCACCTGTATCAAAGTTTAAAGCATCAAGCTCTTAATTCTGAAGGTAATTTAAATAAGTTTGAGCCAGTCCACCTTCATCACTATATCAGTTTTTTATACGGCTGCCTTTTCTGTAAGTTTGCCTCACTCCATTATGCTGCCACCACCGTGCTTAACTGTGGATTTCTCACCTCAATTCATCCAAACATCCTTAATTTTTATTTGTTTTGGTAATTCCCCCAAAGAAAATACAAGAAACAATCCAAGCTACAAAAAAAGGAGGCAGTAAGGCAAAACTAATATAAACTACACAGGTATGAAATATCGAAAAATAAAATAATAAAAGAAGACTCCACTGTAGTTACCTGTGTAACCCTGAAGCAGAGGCCACACCCTTAAAATCCAGAAACTCGTTAATTTGCGAAAGATCGTCAGTACAATTAGAAATATTGCATATCCTCACACATTAGAACCTTTTACTCTCTGGTACATATTGTAACTTAATAATAATCTCTTTTATTTTAAAGTGAATTTAGGCTCCTACACTGTTTTTTTTTTTATTTTATTTGAGGTTCCCCTTTATCTCTAAGGTCTGATGATTTATGCCAGAATAAAATAAGTAATATTTCTGAGCTAATCCAGTAATTAAATTATGGACATCAACAAAACGTATATATATTGGACAGCCTATCCTGTTAGGATTCATTTTTCTGCAAGGGAAATTACAAAATCAAACTCTTGAATTGTTCTAATCCTGATTTTTATTCAGACCATCATATTTTACCCTGAAATTTTAGCTCCGAAGTTTGAAGCTATGATACAAAACTGTTTTGGTTAGAACTATTAAGCACGGTGGTGGCAGCATGATGATGCGGTGTTGTTTTGCTACCTGTAATAAGTGGCACAAAGTAACGGTGCCATTACATCTGAAAATTTTTATTCACTCTCCGGTGTTTGAACTTGTGAACTTTTATTCTTTAGTTGTGTAGAAAATGTTCCGTGAGGTTTTCTCAACTCACTGAAACCTGCATTTCCTGGTTCTGGATCTTCACAGAGTTCCTTGGAAAATTCCCCTTCCTCTGAGTGTTTGTGAGTCCAAACAAAATCATTTAAATGCTGCAAACAGAAGCTAAGATCTGCAGGCAATCTCATTACCAATTAGATGTCAAATCATTCCTTATTTGATGGAAATTTTGAAATATTAAACACATCAGATCATACAAATCGGAAATCTAAACCTGGATGGGAAAGTTTGATTTCACATTTTATTTCTGTTAATTTGCTAAGCTCCTTGCAACACTTTGATTAAAACCTAACAACACAGCCAGATTTCATGCATGGCTGTGGTGGTGTCATGCTATGGGGCTGTTTCCCGGTCGGTGATAATGGTGCACTGCAGAGAATAAAGGAAGCTGTTGGACTACCTCCGTATTCCCCGGCTTTACCCCAAATTAACCTTTTTGAAACAAAGACACTTTTGTTTCCACATGAAAATAAAACCAAAAACAGAACTTTACATTTACAAATATTAAGAAAGGGTTAGAAAATTGTCCAGCTCTCTTTGTTGATATTTAGGCCCATTTCTACAAGAATCAGTATTAGCTAAAATTCACTTTAGCCCATTTTAAATGCTTTCATTTACCTCCCTCAAAAAAAACTCTTTTAGCTATAAACTCTTAAATCATTGCAGCGTTTAATGTAAAATGACCCAGATGATTCATATAATAACGGTTTATAAAATGTTC